ATCAGCTGCCTCCTGCACGATTGAGCCTGCAACCCAGGCATGTGCCCCATGACTGGGACTCGAACCTGAGACCTTCCAGTGCGTGGGCTGACACTCTAGCCACTGAGCCATGCCGGATGGATGCTTTAGAATGGAGACTGGCCCAATGTCATTGCCATTTTTAAAAAAATTATTATAGTGCTTGGGTAAAGTCTTCGACTTTTTAAATTTTTGGTAAACTGCTTGAGTTTGGGTACAGACTACTTTCCTTCTTTGTAATCATCCTGTTCAGTAGTTATTTTCACTGCACCTGACCTGGTCACAACAGATTCTTCCTCCTCCTCGCTCGGTTCCACACGAAATAGCTCCCCACTTTTCTGCACACGCTCCAGCCATTCAGGCACAAGGTCGGTCTCGATGTGGCTTCTTCTTTATATCCTTAGTTGTAGGACTTCTTCTCAGCTAGATTTCAGGTGGTTCAAAATGATGGTTCTCTTGTAGTTTAGTTGCAGTTTTGATGTGGTTGTGGGAGGACTCCAGTGCCGCATTTATCTACGCCATCTTTTTTTAAAATTAATTTTGAGAGAAAGATATTGATTTGTTGTTCCACTTATTTATGTATTCATTAGTTGATACTTGAATATGCCCTGACCAGGGATCGAGCCTGCAACCTTGGCATATTGGGACAACACTCTAACCAACTAAGCTACCTGGCCAGGGCCTTTAATCTGTTTTTTAATTGCAAAGAAAAGTAGGAAAATGTCTGATTATCTCCCCAGCCAGATAACCCTGATTAACAATAGAAAGTAATTATACATGTCTAAGATTAAAATATTTTAGCTACACAGAAAGAGAACATTGAAATGTCCTCCCTGCACCCCACCCTGCACACTTCTCCTCAACTTGCTAACAGTGTCTTTTGATTTCTTCCCCCCAAAAAAATTTTGCATAGCTCCGTGTTCCTATTGATATACTCATTTTGACATGTTACATATATTATTTGTATATCTTTTGCTTTTTTTTGATTCAATAATATAACTTAGTGATCTTTCCATGTCGGCATATAAAAATCTTCTGCTCTACCCTAGCTGGTTTGG